GCTGAATGTTAGGAACTGAGGAAATGGGTGTCTGCAAAGAAGCCTTCCTCTAGCCACTGGTAAAGCATCAGAGCAAGGAGCAGTATACATGTGCGTTGGCTCCGACACTGGAGATGCAGGCTACCCGTCAGATTCATGCACAAAGGCTAGTTTTCATTTTGCCAAGAGATCAAATTAATATTTCATTTCAAATCAGGAAATTATGTATTTTAAAAATCCTGTTTCAAATGTGGCGATTAACATTGCCAATGCAGTGCCTTGGAAATATTATGTCTGTTCATCCTAGAGGCCAAAAACCAAACTGCCTGTATAGTCTGTTAGCAAGGCAAAACATCTCTTTTTCCAATGAACATGTATGGGTGCATTGGGATTCACACAAGCAGATTTGGCAGCTTTTTCAAGTATTTCTTGGACTGCAGAGCGTACACTGAACATGGGGAGCTTTTTCTGTTCAGGAATATGATGTGAATTAGAATGTGCGACTGGGGGATGAGCTATGGCATTTCTATCATAATTTAATTTTTTGAAATATAGTTTACAATGTTTTATAATAGTAATCAATAGGACAACACATCTAAAAATGGCAAAGGCTAGGGTTGCAGGATCTCGCCCAGCATCTCTTTTAATAATACATAATTCCTTAAACGTGCAACTAAATCACTGAAATATATGAGCTTAATTTGGAACCTTTTACACTTTGAAAATTCATATCCCTTTTTTAATAACTGACTACAGTGTTTGCAGAACAGACCAGACTTTTCTGATTTGTTTCCTTGGCTCTTGAACGGGCTGAATGGGATGGATTCCCCAAGATGGATGTGAGGAACCTATAAAACCCAGGAATATGTCCTTTGTGGCTCTCTCCCCTGCCTATTTACACCTTGCCTTACCCTGATGACTTAAAGACGATCCTGCAGGAGACCTAAATGTGGCCATTTTTCTGAGTTACTGAAACACACAGATTTATTGCTGACTGTCAGAGTTAGAAAGTATTCACATTCATTTGGGAACACATTTCCTCAAACTGTTAACGGGCTTGACAGAACAAGAGTGGGGGAGAGAGCAGGTAGTGAGAAAGAAACCTGCATAATACGAGCTGTTATTCCTTCTTTGGTAAACAAATTATAGTCTTGATTATAATCTTGATTCACAAAGAATGCCTTTACTCCTCCAAAGATTACTTTATCGCTACTCGGGAATACTGGATGTCCTGCGACTACTGAATATCCCGGGAAAAGCTCTAATTTTGCTGCTACATTTATGATGTACATGTGCCTAGCTACTTAAATTAGGTCTCCTGGCATTGTCCTGCATTTAAAAGAAGCCACACTACCAGATGTGATGCCTTCAGGATAGTACGGTAATCAGGTCTGCAGACACAGCAACAACAGACCTGGAGAAGCTGGCCAGTTCAGTCGGAGGTGACACACCGCCTCTCGCCCTCAGGGTTCATGGTAGGGGGGATACAAAATAAGAAGGACACGGTAACAGCCTGGGAGAAGATAGCTACTTTTCCTTCCTGCGTCTGCTAACCGAGAACATAAACTGTTACCTGCAGATGATCTGATTTTGATGGGTTTTTTTCTGCCCCACTCAAGGGCATGCTGCCTGTCAGCCAGCTCCTCGGAACAGGTACAAGCAGTACATGCAGAGACTCTCCAAACTTTGCCCCTAACAGTCACAAAACAGCTTGTTCTTCCTGCGAGTCCTCTATAGCTCACATAAGATAAGAAACTCACAGAAGACCAAGAGCTTCAAAGAAGTTTCAGGCAAATATTTTCTAAGCAGGACGACTATCTGTTCCTGTTTTCATCTGAGTGTGAAAAATCCACAACGATGAAGAGAAAAATTAAAGGATGAAGAGAAAAATTAAAGTATGAAGAGAAAGCTATTAGTGGAGACACTGGACTTAAGCCTGCCAAGGGATCTCATCAAGCAAGCCCGAAGTGTCAGCAAAACAGTGTTGGTGGAGCGAGGATACTAAATGAAATGACAGTTCAAAACGTTAGAGCGATACAGCGTGTACATATGTGTGCACGCAAGTGTGTGCGTGCGGGGCAGGGATGCAAAAGCAAGAGAAGTCAAAGGCAGACAAAGAGGTGCCAGAGAGGGGCAAAGAGCATGCTCCGTTCTGCACTGTAGGCAATTAATGGAATAATGTACACATGAATTAACTCATTAATGATTCCTGGAGTGAATCTTAGAGATCATGAAACACCACCTGACAAGTCTGTACAAGAAAAATCTGTTTAGTAAATGAAAAAAAAAAACCACCCATGAACAAACCCAAGTTGGTTTCAACATTTATTTGTAATTCAGTGCACAATTCATCCATCTAGAAACAGAAGTCAGGGTATATTTTTAATCAAAGCCTTTGCAGATCACAATATAGGGTATAAGAAATTGAATTGATAGATCATTTATTATTATGAAACTAAAGGCTTTGTATTCTTAAGTGGAGTACAGCAGACAGCAATATGTTCATATTAGAAAGTTCCTACTGTGAATGAAAAATGGATTAACACTGAGATATTGTTTAGCAAGACAGACAAATCTGTATTTGTTTTTGGTTGTGAAACTATTATAACCGTACAGAACCAATAAGTATGAAGAATTGGCACTGGGGAAAATCATCCTGCCAGTTTGTCCTATGTGTCTGTGTTTGGCAAAGGCGATCTGCAGCGTGTGGTGTGTATTCCATTTGCACGTAATCAGATCTCTGACCTGTAACGTGTACATTCTGGAACATTAATTGGCACAATTAAAAAGTTATTTAGAGGATGAGCTTGGAGCAAAAAACGTTGTCAACATCTCAGAATCCTGAAATGCAACCTGGACTTCGTAACAAGCTGGTTTAACCATTTTTAGAGAGATGTGAGTGTTCACTGGGGGAAAAGTAACGATCAAACTACCCGTGCAACAGACAAATCTGAAGAGTCCAGCATGTGTCAGTGCGCAGCAAATTTATTCTATGAAGTGACTAGTGTGAGAAAGAATTAGAAAGGATTATAAAAATACACTGCCATATGCTGTAGTAGTTGAAAGTGATTAATCCAGTTCTTAAATCCTATTTTAAACTCCCTTTCATTTCTTCCCATAGAAAAATAGAAGCCACATTGCTTTGTTTAAATGCTATGTAGTTAATTACATCTTCTAAGAAACTCTTTTAAAACTAAATGTAATGTTTAATTACAAAATGCCGCCTTGAAAACAGTTCGCTTGTACATTGATTTGTAGTTCATTAAAAGTGCTTTCTTAATTATATTTACAGTCAGAAAATACATAGAGATTAAAGACCCTACAGAGAAATTTTGAAATTACAGCATGAATTGTAAGGAGAAAGCTACACTTCAAATAGTGGACAACTGACAGCCATGACTGACTAATTGCTGCCTTTCTGTAATTTCAAAACTTAATTGTAATAAAAATAATAATTGGAAAACACAGTGTTCATTGTAACGGCTATCAATATTGCATTTTTTTATAAGAGCAGATTTTCAAGGACTAATTAGAAAGCAAATCAATGGCATCAAACAAGTGTAAAGTTCACGTTAGCTGTCGGACTGATCACCTCAACACACGGGGTTCACGGCTAAGGGCAGCCCGCGCTTTGGTTCGTAGGGTGTTGTCCTGGAAACCATGCGGATGCAGTCGATAACAGGGCAGACGCTGAGACACAGGGTGCAGCCTGTACAGCTGTCAGTAACCGTGGGCAGGTGGGTTTCGGGATCAAACTGGATAGCCTGTGAACAGGAATAAACATTATTGATGTCACTCACAGAAAAGGTCAAAATTGCTCCCATTTTAGTGCCTGCATTTCCTGTGCTACAGCACTTGGAGACATCTTGGTGTGATTCTGCACTGCAGCTATAGCAACTGTTCAACTGGCAGAAAACAAAACACACACACACCCCCCGCAGCCCCGACTCTTTAAAATTAGAAATATGGGCCAAATTATACCACGGCGAAAGCTCGTGGGTCACAAGGGCTGGTTACAAAAGGAGGAACTTGGCCCACGACTCCCAGAAGGATATTTCTCCTTCGCGTGAAGGAGATATTTCGTGAGACAGCAATTTGCCGGGGTTATTCAATCAGAGGAGACACCAGACCACGGCCGTGCGGCTTCAGCACGACGCTGGCCACAACGCGTTCTTTTGACTTTTATTTTCAGCACAGCATAAACAATCTAATTTAATAAACACTAGACAAAAACACGGCAAGCTGTGCCTCGTATGATTATTTTCCTTTGGAAATCTTCAAAACGGATATCTGAGTTTTCGGCAGGCAGAGCTTGCTTTAGTTCTCACGTTTCCATGCAGTGAATCCTCATTACCAATTAGGGTGATAAGTGTATTTGAATGCGAAATAACAATTGCAGTCTCAATGAAATAAGCTCCTGGTGTAAGCAAAGCAAAAAAAAAAAAAAAAAAAAAGGCAAAACCAAAAGCATCACACAACTGCAAAAGCTTCAGTATCTAAGAAGCAAGCCTAGAAAAGTAAAAAATAAAAAAACCCCCACTGAATATCTACTTTTAAGATTTTTAGGAAGGAAAAATCAGGCTTGAAAGCTGAGCTCTCGCTTCTCTGCAAACAAGTGTTGCCTTAGCCAATCTCCCTAACCACCAGCAGCAACCGGGGCAGCCAGGGAGGAGATGGGAGGTCCTGGGTGGTGCTGCAGGTTGGCACCAAAGGCAGATTTACGGTATTTGGGGGTTCAGTACTAGGAAAGCACACATGTTGTTGTAGCAACCAGCAAGGGCACGAAGTAGGTACTAACTGCCCTGAATCTACAACTTTTAGTTTAGCTTGAGCACAAAGAGAGCTTTGGTTTGCGAGTATTTAAGGACTCCTTCCTCTCTCCGTAACAACAATGCACATCTTGAAAGGGAGTTCAAAGAGGGAGAGGAAGTCAGGACTATACTGCTAACTTTAAATTAAGGAAAGCTTTTCTGTTGGAGTCATACAAGGTGATAGCTCTGTAGAGCAGCATGGATATTTCTGAAACAAAGAGAAGCATAAAGCAGATGCTGGTTTGAAGGGGGGTGTGATTTCTTTGCAATTAAGAATTTATTTGCAATTAATTTCTTTTCAATGTCCTTAACTAAGGAAAAAACTTTTTTTTTGTGCTTAGAAAACCCCCTGGGGTTTTAAACTTTGGTTCTTGCTTGTGGTGCGCTTTTTTTTTTTTTTTTTTCCAGTTATAGTAAACAAAGTTTCACTAAATAGAACCACAGTCTTTTGCTCTCCAGGTGCCATATCCTCCCTTTCACTGGGAAATGTGATGGAAGGAGACGAGGTGAAGACTACAGTGTCAAAAAGAAATTTAGACAGTTAAAAGGTATAAATGCAGCATTAATTTTCTTATATCAGTGGAAAAAACACGTCTACCTTTGCTCTGACACACTTGTTTTCATTTCAGGAGTTGATTTTAAATGGGAAGGCTCATTTCTTTGACTGTATGTAGTTAAATTCATCAGACCTACTATTGATTAGACTGAATTAAGGATAAAGAAAAGGTCATGCTGTTCAGAGGAAACTTGGTGCTCCGTTAAAGTATTTGTTTCTGACAAACTATTCTTGGACTGGGATGAATGGAAAAATTTGTGTACAAACTATTGCCTACTTCATATTGGTTTCCACGGAGGTTATGCTAGACCGTATTTTGGTTTTCTAGAAGAACACGAGTCCTCCTGTGCTGCCCTTTTTACTGCAGACCAGTCCATCAGCTCCAGTGGACATGGCAAGGAATGGCACGTAGAAATGCTGATACATTTTATAAAACTTATGTCATGGTTCTGAGCAGAAATCAGAGAAATGCTTTGCTGCAAACAGGAGCTCCAGCTCAAAACTATGCTGTTTTCTGGTCACAGTGTTTTCTGCAAACTTCAACCTGCTGCTCTAAAGCCTGGCAGCTATCCTGGAGAAAGGATTTGAACCTCAATCAAGATCAAAACAAAAACCCACCTGCCTGAAACCAGAATTAGTTCAAGTTCAGTTACGCTGACGGGAACAAGGACTAGGTTTCTTAAAAAGCATTTGCCAATGAGAACCTCTCTTGCCTCTCCCCGTCCCCTTGGTGGGAAGGGATTCATTCTTCCCTTTCTCCCTCATGTACTTGAAAACCATCAAAGAACTACATTTGCTGCCATCCGACTTGGGTCTCCTCCATTTTCTTCCTCTTAAAAAGGATCCCACTTCCCACCTGCAGTTAGGGAGAGGCTGGGAGAGCGACCCAGCGCGCTGCGGTACGCTCTGTACAGCCCTCCAGAAGAGGCCGTGCTGGGCGGCGCTCTCAGGGCCGCGCAAACAGCTCAGGCAGGGCTTGCCGGCAGAGCCTGGGAGCGTGCTGGGGTTCGAATCCAATATTTTAGACATCTGTTTTTACCACCTGCTTATTAACAGAAGGTGGATTCTTTCTTCCCAGCAGCAGAAAGATAACTCATCGTGCCTTTCTGCTAATTACAGCTGTGCTCTTACCTGGTAGCCAGAATCATTACAGGTCATGTAACATTTGCCACAGTTGATACACATTTCCTCGTCAATCAGAGCCACAACTTGCTCTGTGTTGCAGAGCTCACCATATGTTCCAATATACTGCAGTGCTTTTCCAATTACATCCTAGGGAAAAAAAAAAAAAGTTATCAACTACTTCAGAAGATACCTAAACAGTTTCTATAGCTGCACAGGAGCACTCTCTAGTACTTTAATACGGAAGATTTGGCCATGCACTGTGATGAGGTTTAGGATTTTTCTTACAAATTTCCAAGTTGCTGACCTTCATACCTCCTTTAATATGAAGAATGCTCCATACAGGCACGTTTTGAATGTAGGCACTACCAGAAGTGTGTATTTGTATACAAACACGTTCTACAAATAGGTTGCACATTTAGTAGTTGATTTTGAATGTGCTATTGTTTTGCCATTATTGTGTGAAACTTCAAGGGACAAAATGGAGCACAAAACAGGAGTGACATACTACCATCCGATCGTCCTTGGTCATTGCTCATTAGCACAGATTTAAGAACTCACAGCAAGAAAAGAAAGGGGCATGATCAAATAAACTGACAGAGGGAACAGTAACTGCTTTTCTCCCTTCAGTGAAATGCGCAAATGACATGATCATCTGTTTATTGCAAATGTACAGAACTAAGCTGTGGGTCTAATCCTACGACTTGATTCAGTTCTGTTAACTTCACAGGGAGGAGTTTGTGGCATTAACCTTATACATCTGTGCTGCAAAAGTAAAGGTGTATGGCAGGACAGCGTATGGGTACATACCACAAGGGGAAGACATGCCCTCTAGAAGAAGTTGTTGGGCACCTACCTGATGCAAACCATTTCCACTTTACATCAAGGGAAACTGCACAGTTCAGCTTCGCTGAGTCAATGGCAGAGACGGGACAAGTCCCAGGTCCTTTGGACTACAGCTATCCCTCAGTGAAATTAGTTTAACTTGTGGAGGTATAGCGCAGGTGATGAACATGACTGCATTTTTAAAAGATTCGCTCTGTGGCACTGTATTGGTTGCCTGGATATTTTGTAAGATTACTAAGCACGCTTCCACAACAGTTCCTATGTTGCAAAACAAGCTCGATTGTTTGTGCAAGGTTCTAAATTGTTAAGATGAAGTTAGGCTCAGTAAATGAAGGTTATGTGATGCAACAATACATTTTTCTTTTGCTTTAAAAAGGGGTATAACTGTTAAGTATTAGAGGAATCTCATTGAGTGATAGCAGAGCAGAACTGGCTTCAAAGTCATTCTTTTGTAATAAACCAAGAAGTCATTACAATTTTGATTATGGAATTTGATCTAAGTCAATTGAAAAATGCTCAAGATCAAGCCAAATATGAGACATGAAGTCTGCCCAGAATTATACACTTCAAAGTGTTTACCTTTGGTCCTTCATCACCAAGAAACACGATAAGGATTTCTTTTTGTATTCTGCTTCTCAATACTTTTTGAAGAAGCAATACTTACCTTATTCCTATCAGTGAAAAAAATTATTCTGAAACGATTAGCAACCATTTTAAGTGTGTAGTGGTATGCTATATTTAACCTGTATCACTTATAATTGCATACAGTGCTCTATATGTTGTTTTCAGTTCTCATTGCAGAAAAACTGGATTACAGCAACTTACATTTTCATTGCATATCTTATTTTGGGCAGCCTTACTTTCAAACAAGCTAAGCATCCCTAATTATTCCTATGCCACATCAGAGCGATAGGGTAATATGGCTTTATCAATGGTAGCTCTAAAAGAAAGGTGTGCTACATGAATTAAATGCAAAAATGGGTCCAACTTTGTCTTCCTGAGTCTGCTGAGAACTTGCAAGAACAGCTCAACTTCCTGAACGAGTGATGCCCGTTCATCCCAGTGAAGCTTTAACTTTGAGGCCCACTTGGCCTTCAGCCCTTCAATTACAATGGTAACTTTATGCAATGAGACCAATGTCTTTGTGCGCTGGATGCAGTGGCAGGATCTGTGAAGTTGCTCTTAATGCCTGTTGAGGTAGGAAATTCAACCATATCCTAAGCCCAGGAAGAAGGACACGGAAATTGTACTGTTTTCTTGCTCCAAAAACACTAAAATGTTTTCTCTCTGCCAAACCCCTAAGTTTGTGAAATACCTTCGTTGCATTCATTCCATGCTAAAAGCCTTCCAGTTCTTCTCAGCAACATGTAGAGAACATTAATGCTCTTCCAGCATAAAACAGCTATGGCAGATTGCTAAAGGCAGCATGATGAGTGTGGACAGATGACTGTAATTGAGCAAGTTATCGCAGCTTAATGAGTTAGCACTCATCAGTAGAGCTGTGCAAGCTGATCATGTGCATGGTCCAAATTCACTGCAAATTTGAAGTAAAATCTGTTTGCTTAAACCACAGTAAAAGGTCGATTAACTACTATGAAAGTGTTTCAGCTAATACTTTTTACTTTGCTATTGCAGAGGACTTGACTTGAACACACAGCCCTTTACTGTCCTGCCACTGATGAGCATCAGTAACTAACTCAATCAAATGTGATCTCTTAGGAACTGTGCACACCCCCGTATTTTCATTTCCGTGTCTTACTCAGAAAAGTTCATGGGTTTACAGGGAATTGCTTAGCAGTTTTCAGGTTGCTACATTTCTCAGGTTTCTGCAGTCTTCTGTATCAGGTGAAAAATTGTAGTTGTAGAATTCGGCTCCGGCTCGTTTCAAGTCTCATGTAGGCTTGTCCATATCATACCTGCTACAGGTTTCAAAATACAAGTGTCTTTGTGCGACCTACTGCCCCCAGCAATACTAAGTATCCTATAAACCTATCTTTTGTGTGTGTAGCCCCCATTCCACTGTATGTCACAAATGCTTGTGTCTGCAAGCACTGGTCTGTGTACTGCAGAAATGATGTAAAACCTGTACAACATATAAAGCAGTAGCTTTCCACTGCCTGCTCATGTTGTTAAAGTATCAACATGGGGAGATTCCTGACAGTGAAGGGCTTTTTATTCTAACAAAAGCAGACGCAGGTAATTTTCTCAGGGAGGTTCTGGATTCATATTTGCATTCTTTAAATGTTATTTGGACGTTAACAAAACCCACAAAGCTCAAGAAGGTTGCAGAGATGGGCTACTCAAATAATCACGGAATGGAGGGCCTTGCTTATCAGAGAAGACAAAAAGAGCCTAACAGTATGTTTAGCCTAGGAAGATGAAGGCAGGGCAGGAATATGACGTCTCTTTATATATACCTCAGGGAGGGAAAAGAGTTACCTAAGTTAAATGACAATGTTGGCACAAGAACACATAAGTATAAGCCAGTTATGAGTAAATTTAAAGCCGGAAATTAGAAAAGCCTTTTTAAATGGGAAAGGAGTGAGGTGATCAATGGCCTTCCAGAGAAGCAGCTGCGGGACAGGAGGGAGACACTCCAAGGTTTAGGATAGCACTATATAGCTCAGGAAATGGTTGCTTAGAAGAATATGATCAAAATAGATTTTTTCCAGCTATAAACTTACAAAGGGAGTAACAAAAACAACGCATATGGCATGGTGATTGCTGAATCTGTAACCAAGTCTCACTTCTCACAGCTCACAAAATACACTTTTGGGGACTTAGAATCCCAAATAGGGAGGATGATGGCATTTTAGAGGCCTGAAAGTGATTTCGAAAGACTGTGTCAATGATTTACTGCTCATTTACACTCCTGGGTCTTGTGTCTTTTAATCACTTCTTTCTCTCAAGCAAAAAGTGTATCTTTATTCATTTGCAAAGTTTCAAGGCTTTATTGACTAAAAAAGCAATGTCACGTAAAAGATGTCTTGCAGGTGCACTCTTTTACAGCATCTCAAGCTATCTCAGAGCTTCTTGTTTCCATCAAATCACAATTGTTTGGAACAAAATAAACAGTGCAGCAAGAAATAATCAGCTTTCACTTTTTAAAGTGCAGTTTCACTCCAAAAAGCAACTATTTAAAATGGCACTATGGGATTCCACACTTGGTATACCTCAATGGCCTCCAGATCACATTTGCACTGTTTACAGTATAATGTTTTTGTGCCAACTGCCAGACCTGCCAACAGAAGCCAGGTTCTGAAAGTCAAGCTGTGTTCTTTCTGGCTTATGCATTACCAGCAGCAACTAAATAAAAAAACCCAAACAAGCTGGAAGTTACATTTTGCCCTAAGTTACACCTTTGCAATCTCAGGGACCTAGGGTACTTCTTTTAATTACTGCTGTGCTGTCCCACTCTTCTCAACAAAACTGTACTGAACGAACTGGGAGAGGAATTTAGTCCTACAACTGGAACTGGCAGGGAATTCAGTTGCTATGGAGAGAATCAGAGCAGAATCCATTTGTTTTATGTTACTAATGAGTACAGAAAAAAAAATTAATTTTATCACTAAGCTAGGCAGATGTGGTTTTGAGTATACAGAAGGAGCAGATCTGTTCAGTAGGATATTATTTTAACAATGCTATTTTTATTACTATAGCTGCATTTTTAGTGTTAATATATCAAATATTTTATGGTGATTTGCCATCCTATTAGTAAACCTATATTTGTAAACACAATTCACTTTTCAGGTATGGCTCCTTGTAGACCTGCAGTGTCCGTCTTCATGCAGACCACACTGTAAAAGACCACTCTGCGCTCTGGAGATGATGAACACCACAGGCCTCTCATTGGATCATTAGAAAGCCATACACAGAGCAGGTACTGCATCTCATGTAGCAAGTTCAAAGGGGACACACATGCTTGTCCTCTTATTGAGCTTCTTGGGTCACCATCCCACACTTTGCATGGCACACCGTGTTCAGGCTCTCCTGACTAGGAACTTTGTGCACTCGAAGCTGACAGCAACAGCATGTAAGGAAAGCAGGGTCATCTTTAAATTACCAGAAGGACAGGTCTGCCTGTTGTGAACAGCAGTCTGTCCTAAGGACAGGCCTCAGCCTCAGTCTTCAGGTCTCCGAGAGATCATTGACCATGATACAAATGCTGAAGTTGATTTCACCACCAAGTAATATAAAAAACTCCTAACAAGGCATCTGATATTTACACAGCAAAGTTGTGTGCTTGATCCCAAGTGCTCTATCTGTTCTTTATTATTTATAGGGTGCTTGGGCAGTTCTCAGGA